CCTGGCAGTGGGTGGCAGGTGGGCTCCCTCCCACCTGCGCTCCATGGGATCCACTGGAGCACAGGCTTGCTGCTCTACTTGAGGGTCTACCTGTCCCCCACAGACCCCTCCCTGCTGGAGAACTGGCACCAGCTGGAGGCAAGGGTGGTGGAGCAGCTCTGTGCATGGGCAGGGCTCCTGAGATGTCTCTCCTTGCATGGGAGAGTGCTGGTGCTGAACCAGCTGGTCCTGTCCATGCTCTGGCACTGCTTGCACACCCTGCCTCTGCCCCCTGAGGTCCTGGCGGGACTCCAGAGATGGGTGCTGAAGTTTTTCTGGCTGGGATGGCACTGGGTCACTGCAGAGGTCCTAATCCTCCCCTTGTGGGAGGGCAGCTAGGGCCTGGTTTGCCTGCGCAGTCAGGTCTTGGCTTTCCGCCTACAGACCTTACAGTGACTGCTATACAGTGTCAGTGGCCACGCAGCATGGGGCCACCTGGGGCATGCTTTCCTCTGCCACTTCTGGGGGCTCTGATGCAACTGGCAGCTCCTTAGCCTGCGGGGATTCTCCTTGCAAGACCTGCGAGGGCTGCCAGATTTCTACCTGGACCTCTTCTGGGCCTGGAGGCTGGTTTCTGCCCCCAGGTTCCCCGCAACAGTCACCCAGAGTGCTGACCTGCTCGAGCCCCTCCTCTGGAACTCCCAGTTGGAGGTGCCGACAGCAGAGGTGCCCCGGTTGTGAGAGAAGTTGATCCTGGCTGGTGTCACCCGTATTGGAGACTTCCTGTACTACAATAGGCAGTAGTGGGTGGACTCCGCCACACTGGCCCAGTGCATGGGTCTACCCACAACATGTGCAACCTGCTGTCTGGTCCGGGAGGTGAAATCTGCCCTACCTCTTGACACCCTTGCCTTTGACCAGGTCCTGTGTGGTGGTGGCACCCCCAACCCCTTGTCCTCCAGCCCACCAGAGTTTGTCGTGGGGCTGGCGCCTCACCCAGCTTCATGGCGTTCCCTGCTTCACCACCTGAGCCAGGTGGAGGATGCCAGACAGGTCCGCTTTTCCACTGTCCATCGCTGCCACCTCTACACGTTTGTGTGTTGCACTGTCCATCATGCCGCCCTTGCATCTCACCCAGACAACAAGTGGCAGGACCTGCTCAGCAAGGGCATGGCTGGGGCACCCCAGTGGCTGAGTCTGTACTCCACCCTCATCCCATGAGCCACTGGGCACCTCAGCTGGCAGCTCCTGCATGGAGGCATTGCCATGCGTGTGTATGTGGTGAGCTTCACAGACACCCCAGTCTCCTGCCCTTTCTGCGAGCAGAGGGAGACCCTGGTGCACGACCCTCGAGTGTGCCAGGCTGCAGCCCCTCCACCTCCAGCTCTAGAACTTCCTCTTGAGGTTCTGGTTGAATTTCACCCCCCACCTTTTTTTTTTTTTGGCACTCTGCAGCCCTACCAAGTCCCGGGACCTCCTGGCAAACCTGCTCCTGGCCCTGGCCAAGTGGGCCCTGTACTTGACCAGGAAGGAGGCTCTGGCCAGAAAGATGGCCAGAGACTGTGGTGCCACTTTCCTCTCCCTTGTCCATGCATGTTTCCGGGCAGAGCACCAGTGGGTGGCATCCATCGGCTCCTTAGATGCCTTTGAGGACCGGTGGGTGCAACTCGGCAGGGCTCTGCTTGGTGTCCCCCTCCAGCAAACTTTTTTTTTCACATTTTGAACGTATAACCCCCATGTCACTCCTACCTTTTTCTTCCTTAGTTGTCCCACCAAAAAAAAAAAAAAGGATCTTTGAACTTTTGGGCTATTAGGTAACTAGGTGGGCCTTAAGGCCCATGATCTCCGGAAGATACAAATAGACAGGAGCTTCTGAGGGAGTAGCCTCTGGGAGGAAGTTGGCCACTCCCCTTCCTGTCCCAGGCTGCTGCAAGCTTTGTCTCAGGAGCTTCTGGGGAGAAGATGGCCAGGCCCTTTCCTGCCCTTGGCTACTGCTAGCTGCTTGCTTGGTCTCAGAGCTTTTAGGAGTAAGGTGGCAACACCCCTTCCTGCATTGGGATGTTGCTGCTCCCTCCCCCCCCCCCCCCGCGGGGGGCCCCCCCCCGCCAGCTCTGCTGCACGTTGTTGCCCCCCCCTCGGATGCCTTTGACAACCAGTGGGTGCAGCCCGGGGGGCTCTGCTCGGTGTCCCCCCAGGCACACTTATTTTCACATTTTGACCCTTTGACCCACACAATACTCCTATCCTATTTTTTTTCATTAGTTGTCCCAAGTATTTTGTTGTAGCATTCACCCATTAGACCCATACAATAGGGGCTACTTGTTAGCTGTGTGGGCCTTAGGGCCCACAATATTTTGAATGTTACAAATAGACAGGAGCTTCTGGGGTCCAGCCAATTGGTACATGGGACACTAGCCCTTGTGCCAGCTGGACTGCTGAAGCAGCCCTGAGAGTTCCCTGCACACTTTATCTACTGCAGCAGTCTGGCAGTGGGGGCTGCTGCCTGGCTGTGACCTGCTGCGCACCTGTCAGACCCGGATGGGGACTGTACAGTCAGTAGAGGCATCTGCCCCTCTGAGCCAGATGGCAGTGGGCTGTGGATGCAGGGTTGACCTTTGTGCAGCACTACTGCCATGTGTGCCCCTGCCCAGCCATCCGGGCAGGTATCGCCCGGAAGAGGTTCCCAGTGTGGTGGCCTTCTTTGAACTGTCAAACCAGCTGGCCAGGAGGTCAGCCACCTTCAGCTGGGTCCAACATGCCAGCTCTGAGCAGGCAGGGTCCTGCCACTGGCCTCCCTAGAAGGAATTCTAGTGTTCCCTATTGGAAAACTGAAAAATCCCTGATAAAAAAAATCCCAAAGTCACTCTATAAAATACTCTGAAATCCATGTTCTTCCACAATTAAAACAAAAGACCACTCTCTCTCTACATATAGATATATATAGCGAGACACAGAGACAGTGATCAGTTGGGCATGTTTTATTGATATATCTACAGTGTTAAAGTAATTTGGATGCCTAGCAGAGTCTCTATCATCATAATAAAATGAATTCTAAATACCTATGTTTTTCTGCCCCCCACACCAGGGGTAACACCCCCCCCAGCAGGGGCCAAATGGCCCCTACAGGGGCTACCACCCGCCCTGCAGAGCCCACATTCCCCGCCCCCTCGATGGCTGCAATGCCTGGCCCCATCCCCCACTTGTGCCCCCAGCCCCCTGATGGCTGCCCCCCCAAGCACCAGCACTTAAAAAAAAATATATATATATATTTTTTAAAGCCTCTAATCGCCGTAGAAGCAGGGGCTGTGGGGACCCTGGGGCCTACTCGCAGAGCCCCCCTGGGCAGCAAGAGGCAGCAGGAGCTGCTGGGGCTGTCACCCTGCCCCGCTCTGTGCGGGCAGGGCCCTAGTGACCCAGATGGTAGGTGGAACTGGCAGTAGGTGCAAG